TGACAGCTTTTTTTTTTTTTTTAATCTAATGCCCCCCCACCCCCACCTTTTCTAATTCCCTTTTCTACTGAAGGTGGATTGATTTCTTAAAAACGGGTCTGAGCCTGGCTCGTCTCTGTTCATAAAATGTTCCTGGCTTCTYGGTGTTTACCAAGAACTGTATGGATACTTTGCTTTGGAATCGCAGTGTTTGTGACCGGGCTTTAACTGGATTATTCTACTATATCAAACCAAATTATATTATATCCTGTTATCTACAGTAACAGAAATGTCTACACACCTGCCCAAGTTTCTGTTACTTAGCAAACTGCCCCCCGTCTTCTTCATAACTGCTGGTAGAAACCCCATTTCTTCAAATCAAATTTGATCATCCACAAGTCTTTATTGAATGGCACTGATTTGATATAATGGGATGAGAGTTGAAACTTTTCTGAAATTCGCAGCATTTTGCTTACCTCTCTGGTGGGATTTATTTCATTCTACATAGTTGTCCTGTGGTACACATACATTTGGGCTTAATCATGTTGACATCACCCACACTGCTTTGATACAGCTATAGCTAATTGGTCATTTGAACCTGAAAATGTTCATCAGATTTGGTTTGGTGCATTACTGAATGAACCTATCAATGTTAGGGTATGCTGGAACTTAACTCTTGGGCATTAAAAAAAATCAGCCAGGTATGGTGGTACACACCCATAACCCCAAAGACTTGGGAGGATGAGACAGGAGGATCACAAGTTCAAAACCAGCTTCAGCAAACCAGCAAGGCCCTAAGGGCTTAGTGAGATCCTATTCAAAAGAAAAGATTAAAAATTTTTTAAAAGGTAGGGGATGTGACTCAGTGGTTAATTGACCCTGGGTTCAATCCCCAGTACAAATAAATAAAATAAACAAACAAACAAAAATAAAACAAAGTGACTCCAAACTACTTCTCAATCCCCTGTAAGACTATAACATAGTATTATATCAAAAAAGAGATATGGAAAAAAAAAGCCTAACTTCACTCTGTCTTAACAAGCCAGGTCAACGTGCCAGGTACAGTGGCTCACATCAATAATCAGTGACTCCAGAGGTTGAGACAGAAGGATTTCAAGTTCAAGGCCAGCTTCAGCAATTTATTGAGACCCTGTCTCAAAATAAAAAATAAAAGGGGCTGGAGATGAGACGCCATGGTTAAGTACCCCTGCATTAGACCCCCAAAACAAACAAACAAACAAAAGGCCAGGTCAATGAAGAGTGAACAAATCATCTAAAGGGATRTTGACAACCACACAGTGGCAGCCAGTGTTAAAATGCTAAGCTAAATTGTTTAACAGGCACGATTTCATTGGTTCTTATAACCCTCGGAGGCAGATACAGATAATTCCACATTCTACTCTTGGGAAAAATGAAGCCAAAGAAAATATTCAAATTTTCCCAGTTGGCCAAGATTAAGTGTTATTTGAATGACAAAACTGAAATCTCAAACTAGAAGAATTTACCAGAAGATTATAGCTTACCTGTGCCTGCACCTTTAAAATGAACAGGTAGCACTATAAATGCCAATGGTCATTTACTTGCCAGGATATATATATATATATCTGAGGTGCGAGGGATGGAATCCAGGAACCTGCACATGCTGGGCAAGCTAGCTCCACCAGTGAGCTACATTCCCAGCCCTCAAACTGCACTTTTTAACTAAGGAACAATTTTAGAGACCTGGTCAACTGTTATTACAGCAAAGCTGACCACTAGGTGGCAGGAGTAGAACGTGTCTTATAAATGAAAGTAGCATGACATTTCCCCAGTTCTTTTTCACAGGAATAAACCACCTCGTCAAACTGCTTACCATTTTCCAAAAGATGATTTTGTCATTTTTAGTGTGGCATGCTACAAATAAATAATTCTAAATATTACTCTTCCTTATTGAGAGTTCACTATAATTTTTATTATCAATAACAGCATAATACATGCAGATTTCAACCTTTGTACATTTAACAATGAACACTGCTTAAAATTTGCTTTAAACTTATAACTAGAATCATATTTGCAATGAACAAAATACCAAGTAACACCACATGAATCAAAATATAGTAAAGACTAAAATTTAATTTTCTGTAATGCTATGAAATTTTTTAAAAACTGCTTTTAAAACATGAAGGTTAGAATCCTTGGAGTTGGCAGTGTTTTATTTGTTCCACTTTGTTTTCTGTTTCTCAGTGTCAAAATTAAAGGCTTCAGGTCATAGTTTACAAGTACTTCTCTGTAAGTAATATTGATGATCCCCAATATATAAGATACAAATTGGGTAAACCATCATTATATTTTCTGTCTCTTTGTAGTGCTTGGGATTAAACTGAGGGCCTCAAGCATTATAGGCAAATATCTACTACTGAGTTTCCATTCCCTATGTTTTTCTCTTTTTGACATTTTTGTTAAAAATTGAAGAGGGCCGGGTGTGGTGATACACACCTGTAATCCTAACAATGCAGGAGGATTACAAATTCAAGGCCAGCCTTGGCACCTTAGGGAGACCSTGTCTCAAAATAAAAAAATAAAAAGGGTTGGGGGATGTAGCTCAGAGGTAGAGCACCCCTAGATTATTACAATCCCCCTTATTGGGGCACTGTGGGGGAAGAGGGGCGCGCAGGCGTAAAAGAAGAAGCTTAATATGCTACATAAGAATTCTGAGGACATGAATGCCATCTAAAAATGCAATGAACATCTTGAGGCAAATCTATAGAATCATCAACATCTGAGCTTTCTAATAAACTGAACTTTAATACCAGCGTTTCTTTTACTTTCTGTCTTTGGTGATCCCTTGTGAGTAGAAATCAAATTATACTTAACTAATATCAGCAAATATACATGTGTAACTATACAGAATGGCCAAAATCACCCGGGCAAATAATGCTAATTTTTGTTTATGCTCAAGGATGAAATCTTTTTTTTTCTTTTGTCTCTTCTTTTTATCTCAGTACTGGGGATTGAATCCTGGGGCAATCTACCACTGAGCTACATCCAAGCCCTTTTTAAAAACTTTTTACTTTGAGACAAGGTTTCCTGATTAAGTTGTCCGAGCTGGCCTCAAACTTGTGATCCTCCTGCCTCAAGTTCCCAAGTTTCTGGGATTAGAGATGTGTGCCAACACACCCAGCAGGAATAAAATATTCAAACTATTTTTTAACTAATTTTGGAAATGAAATAAAATCCCATCTTTAACACAAAGAACTCTCTAGACAAACAAATTCTTTCTTAGGGAGGCAGGGCTCCAAATCATCCGTGGGGCAGAACAGGGTGTCTAGTGGAAGAAATATTATACTTCACCTTACCCAAGGCTATAGCTGGATACTGAATGCCCCCCAAAGGTTCAATATAAAAGCTCGGTCCCAAGATATTGAGAAATATAATGGACCTTTAAGGGGTGGGCTAGGCTAGTAGGAGGTCCTTAGAGCACTGGGCACATGCCCTAGAATGGAATTGTGGGACCCACGCATCTTTTCCTGCTTTCTGGCTTCAGATGTCCCTCTGACACCTACTCCTGCMAGGATGTGGCACCCTTGCGGGAAGCCCAAAACATCAGGGTTGTCAATCTTAGACTTAAACCTCCAGAACCATGAGCCAAAATAACCTTCTCTTGACATCACAGTAGCCCGAGTCAGGTATTTTGTTATAGTCATTCAAAGCTTACTAACACACTCAGAAATGAATAAAAGTTTTGGTCAATTAAAAAAATCACAGCCAGCTGAACTGGAAGTCCTTCCCAAGGTTGGCAACTAGTTCTGTCTTACAACTGTTTCACAGGATTTTTTCAAAATATGCAAACGAGCAAATGGCCATCAATATGAGAGAGCTCTGAAATGCCGACTGGCCTTCAGGTCTCCACTGTAACCTAGAATCATACTATGAGGCAGCCTCACTTTTCTAGCTACCCAGGGATCCCCAGCACCAAGGATCCTTTAAGATGATTTGGATCTCCTGAAAGCACTCTACAAAAATTCTACTTTGTGGGTTTTTCCACAAGTTTCTACCATCTAGGTATCTCTGGATAACAAAGGTCAAAACTAGACAGTCCCACTGGCTGCTTGTGTATTTGCAAATCTAGGTGTTCATCTTCTAACAGTCAGACAAAACAGAGGTCCTCTCCAGAAATCAGAGGGAAATAACAGTTTCTAGGGTTCCCCCACACCATGGCAAGCCAATTCATACCTGTGAAATACTCTGATGATGTATGTGAAGGATTATTTGCAATATATACACACACGCATGCATTTCCCCATCTTTCAGTTATGCAAGGTAATGTTACTGAATGTACTTATAAAGTGAAAATTACAAAGTAAAGTAAAACTGTCTGGATGTGTGACAGAATGTGAAATGCCTGACAGTTGTTTATTAGCTGATTCAATTCATGAGATACTTTAAATTCTATTCTAAAAATAAGAACAATAACCATCATAAAAATCACTTTGAACAAACATCATCTGTGGGTTGACAGGTACTGAACTACATGTTTCAAATTCATTCCTAGGAAATAACACAGACTTAGAACATGTAATGGCCTCCTAACACAAATAATATATTTATAAGAACTCTGTTGCAAAGGATACAGAAACCGTTTGAAATGTGAAAAAGAACTATTTGGGTAATAAAAATTGTTTCAAAAATGCAAAAAACTGAGAATACCTAATAGCCACATAGAATGTCCCTACCCCTGCAGACTCAGTAAAATGAATGGATGGTAAATATTACCTCAAGGAATTTGATACATTAAAAGTTCATTTCAAAAAAGAGATAGAAATTACTTCTGAACTTGGTAAAGAGCAAATTGACAACTCCCATCCCCACTCATAACTGTGACATGATCAGCATAGGGCCACCAGTCACTATGACAGTTAAGGACCAAGAGCAACACCCCTGAATAGCATGGAAATCTCCGGCTGAGATGAAGACTGAGAGTGGACAAGCACTGATCACTCAGCAAGGCCACCTACAGGAGGGACTTCTACCTGGACCCTTACCTCTTCCTGATTTTCCTTGGGACTGGCTGTCCCACAAAGGCTCAGCTGAGGGTGGCTGCCACTACCACTTCCATCGCCACCTTCGTCACCACATGTGGTTGGCACTGAGTCCTGGAAGGACACAGGCCTGGGCTCTCTCTGAGTGGAATCTTCTGTCCTTTCTTCACTTTCCACTGAACTCAGTGACAATGCACTGAGACTGTTGGGACACTTGGTGCCTCCTGTCCCTGGGCTCTGAGGGCTCTGGGGCTTGGGCGAGGTGGGCCTGAGAGGGATGGGAGGCTGCCTGGGGTCAAATGTAAACTGGCTGCCTGCATCTGGCTCACTGGAGGTTTTGCTCAACACTTTCGAGTCAACTGGACTTGAGGGGCTGCTGGCAGAGGGACCATCACTTTCTGATGCCCGGGAGCTTTGGGCTTCAAGAGGGCACACTGCTGTGTCAACGTCCAGGCGGGGCTCCTGAGAAGGGGTAGAGCCGAAGCCAGGAGCCGTGGGGCAGGATGCAGCAGCACTGTGCCCCGGTGACACGCCTCGCCTCCTGTCCTGCTCGGTGCTGCTGGACACGCGGCGTGAGTAGTCATCGTGCAGCCTGCTGTGCAGCCGGAGTCTGAGGTTCGCCTCGCTGGGGGAGGGGGCCCCATTCTTGGAACCCTCTCTCTTCCAGGCAGCATCAGTCACATTGCTCATAAGTTTTAAGACTCTGTCAAAGTCCTTGGCCCTGATGGGGCTCTTCCAGCGTTTCATCCTTCTCTCTGACCCACCAAGTTTTTCGGAGTCTGCAGATGAACTGCTCAGGGTCCGCTGGGGTGTCAGCTTTTCATTAGCCGCTCGAAGGTCTGCGAGATTGGAGGTGGACTTTCGTTTGAAGGAACTTTTCTTCAGGAAGTTTAAGTTGTCTGTGCTCTTGCTCCTCCTGTAGATGATGCTGTTGTTTTCAGAGTCCTTCACTAGGATTTCACACAGGGTGGGCTCCTGAATGATGGGGGACAGGGGCCTAACATGGTTCTGAGGGCTGTGATGTTTCTCAGAATCCAGTAGATTGATGCGGCCCAGACCATAGGCCCTGCGGATGCTGCGGGAGCGGTGGGTGCTCCTCTGGAAGGCATCGTCTATGTCCTCGGGGTCAGAGCCATCGGATGTACCTCCTTCCCCTGCCCTGTGGGGGTCACATGACTGCCCCCACAAGGAACATCTGCTAGCATCAATTCCCACAATGGCACCATTAGGGATTGCTTTTCCCAGGTCATGTTCCGATGCATCTTCCTTTGAGGCACCTAAGCCCTCCCGGTTCTGAATTCCTTGAAAGACAGAGGACTTCAGTTTTTTAAAAGATCCCATTTTCCGGAAGGAGGCCAGTGCATTCCATGTTGAAGAATTCCCCATCAGGACCAGGGAACGGGGCCTCTCAGGATTGGCACTCATTCTTTTCCGGCTCACAGCGAAAAGACGCATGAATTTGGAAGGGCTGACTCTGGCTTCGGGGGCTTCAGTGTCACTGCTGGGGCTGYTCCTGCAGCTTCCATTCTGACATGCCGGGACAGTCACCATTCTGGGGTCCTTTGGATCTGAGGCTGAACAGGTGGCTGCAACACCTGGCCCATGGCCATTCTGAGCTGTTGTCATGTTCTTGGGGCAGGGCACCCGTGGCCACAGTGCAGTGTGCTTCAGATGCACACAGACATCTGTGTCCATAGGTCCCAGCTCCAGACCTTCATCTCCAGGGCCACCAGCCTGGCCTTCATAACTACTGTGTTCATGGGTCTCTGCAGAGGTGGCCACTGCCTGTAGCAGAAAAGAAAGCAGACAGTTAGCCATCTTGCCCACAGAGGAGCCTTTATAATCAGGGTCTAATTACTATGCTTAACAATTGCTAATAGAAAAAAAAAAAGAAAAGCAAGTCCCACGATCAAACAAGAACTGCTTCTAAATTAAAGTTGTACTTTTTTTTTTCAATTCATTTCATAACAAATCAAGGCAAGAATGCAAACATACAGTCCTAAAACAGAAAAAGATAGTTATGGGTTGGTGCGTTTAATATGAAGAACTCCTGAATTGCTGAAATCTGAATGAACATGTCAAGGCAATAATCAAAATTGTGCCTTCTCTTTATTTGAACTGAGTCTTTTGTTATCAAATACTAAAAACAAAAACAAAACTATTTCAAAACGTGTCACACTGAAATGCCAGCTAGCCTGTGTTAAATGCAATGCAGTCAATACACAAGCAGAGTTCATGGAATGCTGCTGCTCAGAGGATGATAGTGACCAGGATGCTCTTGGCTACTTCCTGTCTAAAGAGGGCTGTAAAGCACCAGGAAAGTGAGAGCTTTACAAAGCTGCATGGACACAAGGGTAGGAGGGACCAAACCAAGGAAGCATGAGGAAAGGCTTTGTAAAGAAAACACAGTTAGCAAAGAGACTTTTCAACAGATTCTAACTGGCCATAAAATGAAGAGATGTGGGGCGGAGCCTGGAGTATTAAAAATTCAGACCTAAGAATTCAAATTAAACAAATACTGTACCCTCTTCCCTCATCTCACATGCCCAGACAACTGTACATACCTGGCCCATGCACTTCCCCACACATGCACCTGTCTCCATACTCTCCCCGCACGTGTCCATGCCCTCCTTGCCCCACCAAAGTGAAATCTGTGCTACCCTTAATCTTCCCCCCTCATCAGGCGAGATCTGTTGAGTTTCCATAGGATAGCTTAAAAACATCACAGCCTGCACATTCTGAATAAATCATTAGTGAATGAATGACAGATAATAACTACAAGAGACTACCATTTAGTTAGTGCTCATTACATGTCTGGATCCTATGCTAAGGTCTTGAAAAACATGATGCCACTGAGTACTCAGGCAAATCTCAAAGAGATTTTTTGCGCTACTGAGGATTGAACCCGGGGCTTTACACATGCTAGACAAATACCCTATCACTGATCTACATCACTAGTCCTTTTATTTTATTTTGAAACAGGGTCTCACAAGGTTTCTCAGGCTGGCCTTGAAATTGCAATCCTCCTGCCTCAGACTCTTAAGTAACTGGGATTCTGTGCCACCATCCTGAGCCTTGATTTCTACTTTACAGACCATCAAATGGACTCTTGGGAAGGTCAGGCCATTTGTCTGGGGGTCCTGCAGCTGCCTCTCCAGTGCCTATGCTGTTCTCCACTGCACTAAACTAATGAGCAAAGACAGAGGCACAGCTGGGATTTGCACCCCAAGCATCTGTCTTCGGTTCCAGCATGTCACGACCCTGACAAATCAAGTTCCAACAATCTTTACAGGCCTGTCAAGGACATTTCCCCCCAAGGCAGGAGGGAAGAAGTAAGAGGAAGTTGTAGAAAGACCTTGAGATTAGATCTCTAAGTAGCTTACTCTTCACAAGTGCAGAATTTGACTTCCAGCAAAGTATGTGTCCTCTATGTCCTACCTTCTTGGTGAGTTTTTTACTGGCCCCTGCCTACTATTCAGTGAGGAGGATTCCCAGGGAGAGCCATGGTTAAAGGGTTGATTCCATCTGGGACCAGGGAGGTTATACTGACAGCCAGCATCAGCCAATACACTAATTTAAAGACTGATGGGCTACTAAATGCCCTCTGCAGTTTTAATGTTCTAATGGAGACATGAGGGGGATCTGAAGGGCTGTGAATTGCATTTGAATGAGTCAAATAGGCAAAGTCTAGAATTGAAATCTGTGACAAGTTCCAAAATAAGTCCTACATTCAGTATCACCTGTCTATTCTCACCAATTCTGTCCAACTATTCACCTCTATCCTCACCTATTCTGGGAGGGATAGGGGACTGTGGTTGTTTCAACATTTCAAAATGCTGAAATGTACCAAATAGTTTAATTGAATATTCAAATCCAGTTCACAGGCGCTGATTGGCTACACTTGAAGTTGGAAAGGTCTAATTATGACTTGCCCTGGACACACAGTGTAGCCAAAAGCTTGGTCCTCATCCTTGATGCCAATCCAATAAGGAAGACACGGTCTTGATAAAAAAAAAAAAAGTTTCTTGCTTTGCTAGCAAAGGAGAAACACAGAGGACTCCTGTCCCAAAGGCTGTGGTTCTGCCCATCCTCAGTAACAGGGGGTTTTATAGAGGTGATTCAGAGAAAATGAGATTAAGGACAAAGATCAGAAAGGAGAAGTTTAGGGGAAAGAAGATCAGGGAGAAGAAGTTTAAGGAAAAGAAGATTGCGAAAAAGAAAAAGCATGTAACTTTCAAAGCCACAAGGAATATAGTCAATGGGCTGGAGATGTGGCTCAGCGGTAGCGCGCTCGCCTGGCATGCGTGCGGCCCGGGTTCGATCCTCAGCACCACATACCAACAAAGATGTTGTGTCCGCCGAGAACTAAAAAATAAATACTAAAAATTCTCTCTCTCTCTCTCTCTCTCTCTCCTTTAAAAAAAAAAAAAAAGGAATATAGTCAAAGCATCAAGTGAACAACCCCTGTTACAACAGGACAAGGCATGATTCCTGCCACATAATTCAACTGGACAACTACAGACACCACAAGTAGAAGGTATAGGAGAACTTCTGGAACCAAGAAGGACAGCTGCCTTGAGCTGACCCTAAGGGTTCAAGGCCTGCAGAAAAGCACTTGATATATAAGTAGAATAACAGTCAGAAGCACAGCTCCCTATAATGAAGTAGTGGATATTAAGAGGAAAATGGGTTTAGAAAAGTCTAAAACCTAATCATTCTTTAAGACCAACTGTAGGTGTAACTTTCTTTGGAATTCCTTCCCTGAAATAAGATTCCTTACTCTGTATTCCATAGGGTCTAAATTGTATCACCAAAACACTATAACAATAGTTTAACATGGCTGCCTTTAGATTAAGACTGTATACTCAGAGCACAAGAACTGGATCCCTTGAACTTAGCTTTTTGTTTATTTGTTTGTTTTTTGTCTTGGCAGTACAGGAAACTGAACATGGATATGCTACCACTGAGCTATATTCCCAGCCCTGTTTATTTTTTATTTTGAGACAGTCTCACTAAATTTCTGAGGCTGGCCTCCAATTTGCAATCCTTCTGCCTCAGCCTCCTGAGGAGGCTGGGATTACAGGTGTGCGCCACCATGTCCAGGAAATTTTTTTTTTTTTTTATCTTGATGTGAAATTGCATGTTATCCTGCCTGTGCCAAGGTAACAAATCATCATTACATACCATTACATTTTTTTATAGTGAAGATGCTTAAATTTTATAACACTAATAAGTATTTACTTAAAACTTACTTAAGCTTTAGAATTCAGAATCTGTTAAAAAAATTATGCAGAAAACCTGAGCTTCTAAATAGGGGAAACATGCTTTTTAGAAGACTAATTACTTACTATTTTGCTCATGAGCGGAACAATGGGATTGTTGTATACTGCTTAGAATGAAACTGAAAACTGTGGAAAAAGACTTTTCCTGGAATTTCTGAGTAACATACCAAGTTGCATTATTTAGAACTAATACTTTGACCTCTATTAGCTAACAAGGGTTGCAATTCAATTAGTGGTTTTATACCAAGTCTTATAAATCGTGGGAGCTCTGCCAGAGATGTTTATGAACAGAACTACAAGAAAGAATGTTAGATGGGAATATTGTGAAATCCAATTGACTACAAGCTGGATTCTGGGTTGCACGAACTTCAGAATAGAAGTTTCTTCCCAGTCATAATGAGAAATCTCTAAAAACAACTATGACCAGCAAATTTAAATTATAACTTAAATTTGAAATCTAGGAATGTAACCAGGTTACATGAGCAAGTAAGAAGATTTCTGTAATTGTTGACCTAAATTACAGAAAAAAGTGACACCAGAAGAAAACACATTGAATTCTTACTGGCTAAAGGAGTGAAGGTATGGATCCCTGAATCACAGTACTAGAGAATATTGCCTTAGGGAATATCTAACCCCTATTTAGAGATTGGGACTTAAGGGACTGAGTAATTTACAACTACTCATCCTCCCAGTTTCACTTTCTGTATTTTTAACTACATTCAGACAAAAAGCAATCCAAAAATATTAAATGGAATATTTCAAAGTAAATAATACATAGGTTTTACATCACATTTTTGTGTGTGTGTATCGGGATGAATTCTCGTACAGTCCTGCTCTATCCTGGCCAGGCCATGAGTCATCTCCTTGTCCAGTGTATCCATGCTGTATACAGTACCTACCCATTAATCACTTAGTAGCCATGTTAGTTATCTGGTCAACTGTTGTAGTGCTATGTCCAATTAACTCTTATTTTGCTTAATAAGGTCTCAAAGCCCAAGAGTAGTGATGCTAGCAATTCAAACATGCCAAAGAGGAGCTGCAAAGCGCTTTAATTATGTAAAAAAATGAAAATTTATCGTAGGCATGTCTATATAGAAAAAATACTTTTTTTGTGTGTGGTACCTGGGATTGAAACCAGGGGTATCTAACCACAGAGCCATATCCACAGCCCTTTTTTAAATACGTATTTTATTTACAGACAGAGTTACTTGAGACCTTGCTAAGATGCTGAGGCTGGCTTTGAACTCATGATCCTCCTGCCTCAGCCTCCCGATCCAACTAGCTGGGGTTTCATTCATCTACCAGAGTCTTGGTGAGCATATCCCCTGTGAATATGGGGAACTACTACACTGTTATTAGCGAAAGTGCCATAGGGTGGTAATCAGCAGGACAAGATTCCAGTCCCGGGCTGGGGATGTGGCTCAAGCGGTAGCGCGCTCGCCTGGCATGCGTGCGGCCCGGGTTCGATCCTCAGCACCACATACCAACAAAGATGTTGTGTCC